GTTATGGTACGCCATATGTTTTGGCCATTATGTTTGTTTATGTAGGTACTCTCTTACTTGAAACTACTTTTAAACAATCATAGTTAGTTGTTTACAAAAATTTAAATTTTTAAATTCATTCATTTTTTTTTGGAATCCTGAGAAAACTAACAAATATTTTTGAAAAATTTAAATGCAGAATAAAAGATTACATTATTACCGAGGGCCGAAAGTCCCTTAGAATAAACAAAAAGTTTTTTGAATGAGATATTTGAAATTAAAAATCACACTAATTTTTTTTTTCGCCCTTATAACTTATTAAAATAAACATTATAGAAGTTTTCAGGGACTTTTGGCCCTCGGTAATAATGTATTGGTTCATTCTGCGTTTAAATTTTTCAAGAATATTTATTAGTTTTATCAGGATTCGAAAAAAATGAATGCATTTAAAAAATATTAATCGCTCTTACGCTCTTAACGATAAAATTACCACGACCCACCTCTACTACCCGTTACTCGGTATTCTGACCAGACGGACGACGTTGCCAAATAAATTATTGTGTGTGAATATTTTTTAATGTGGTGTTATTGTATGCAGTTTATTATTTCATATTGGGAATAAGGCACAATGTGACTTTAAAATAAGCTTATTTTGATGTTTAGATTTTTAATTCGGAAATCGTACTTAAAATACGAAACATTAATAAATTTTATTTAGGTATATAAAACGATTTCCAAAGTGGAAATCAAAATCTTATATTACACTTATTGTAAAGTAAACTTGTGGCATATTCCCAATAAAAAAAAAAGTAAGCTGCCATTTAAATCAATTTCGCCCAAATTGGATTATCTTAGAACATTGTTCAAATGCAAAAAAAAAACAAAAGGTGAAATAAATCCAATAAGTTTGGCAACGTTGAATTTCCTCTTTTTTAATATTTCCATTCGGCGATATAAAGGGCGTACCTAATATACCTCTCTCTTTTTAAACAGCTGTTTCTCACTCCATCTCACGTAAGGTCCATACCGACCATTAAATTTTTCCTACACTGTATATATTTTTCATTAATATCGTCTTGTTTTAAATCCCTTAATAGTTCTTCCAAGTGCTAATTCCATCTCTTAACTATTTCTTTTATTTCTGTTATTAATTATCCATTTTTATCTTTAATGCTGTATGTTTAATGTATTTGCCATTTCTTTGTTTCTTAGCTTTCTGTTTTTATTGTCTCTTTTTTAATTGGTCTATCTTTTGTCTGAACTACTCTTTTCATCCTTTTTTGTTTCTTCTCGTATCCCAATTACTACCATGTAATATTCGTTGCCTGTTTCGGGTCTTATGTGTACTTTTGTATCCATTACTATTCTTCTGTCATTACTTTCAACAAGTAAATAGTCAATTATGGATTTTTTATTTTGACTTTATAGGACCAACTCCGCCTCTGGTAGATACTGGGTGGATTGAGTAGCTCAGTAAATGCCAGTGTCGGTCCCAAGCCCGGATGAAGGAGGAGGGTTACAGCGGTAGGTTAGCTCCCCGCCCTGCGTAAAAGAAATATTGCTAAAAATCCCAAAGAACAGCCTCGGAACTCGGATGGCTTCAACGGAAAACGACATAGGCAAAGAAAAAGGCTAACGAATTTTGGATGTTGGAACATACAAGGACTAAATACAAAAGAAGACCAAGTATTTAAGGAACTCAGTACATACCGAATTGACATCGCAGTACTCAGCGAAACAAAAAAGAAAGGACAGGGGAATCACTACAAAGACGATTATATATACTTCTAGAGCGGAGTAGAAAAATCAAAAAGAGCCAAAGCTGGAGTAGCGGTCGTGATAAGAAAAAACATGGATAAATGTATTACCAACTGGAACCCAAAAGACGAAAGAATTATAACAGTAGACCTTACAACAAAGGGGAGAGACATAAAAATAATTGGCATCTATGCACCCACGGACGACTCAGATACAAACCCTAAAGACATGTTCTTCGACAAACTCTCAGAAGAGTTAAATAAAATAAAAAAAAGGCAAGAAATAGTCCTGCTAGGGGACCTGAACGAAAGAGTAGGTAAAGCTCTTGACATCAAAATAATTGGACAACACGGAGAAGATGTAGTAAATGAGAACGGAACAAGATGGTTGGAGGTATGCGAACAACATTCGTTAAAAATACTGAATGGATTTTACAAACATATCATTTTACAAACATAAATAAATCCCAAGAACAGAAAAACAAAGAATCCACACGGCTCTATAACATAGACAGCTTAAAAAATGAGTCCACAAGTTTTCTTTATAAACTACGTTTGGCACAAAAATTAGACGAAGAAATAAACGGAACAGCGGAAGAAATGTATGAGACTTTGAAAATCAAAATTCATGAAGCAGCATTAGAAGCTCTAGGTACGAAAGAAAAAGTAAAACGTAGAAATTATTGGTGGACAGAAGGTTTATTAGAACTGGTAGAAGAAAAGAAAAAACTGTATCTCAAATGGTTAGCGACAAAAGATGAGGAAGACCGAAAGAACTATAACAGATACAAATATATAGTAAAAAAGGAAATTAAAAAAACAAAAAACATAACCTGGGACAACAAGTGTGCAGAAATAAGCTCAATGGTAGGAGGATCTAGGTCCACACAAGCTTGGAAAACTATCAACAGTCTTAGAAAAAATACAAACGAAACAAAAAAATAAACCCCATAGATATAAAAAGATAGAAAAATTATTATGAAAATCTATTAAATGAACAACGTACACAGTTTCTAGACACACAGATAGATAGAGTTGAAACGGGGTTAAATGAAGTGGTGATGATTACCGTAGAAGAAATAAAAAACGCATTACAAAAAATGAAAAATAATAAAGCTCCTGGGCAGGGTGATTTACCTATCGAGTTATTCACACATGCCACTGCAATAACATTAGAATTGCTTTGTAAAATGTTTAACAAGTGCCTACAAGGAGAAAGTATCCCAAGAGATTGGAAAGTCTCGTACATAAACTCCATCTACAAAAAGGGAAACAGGAATGACTGCAGTAATTACCGAGGTATCGGCATTACGTCATCCACTGGCAAACTGTATGAAAGAGTTCTGAAAGCCAGAATAGAAAAAGAAGCCACAGAGATCGAAGAACAAAGTGGATTCCGACCAGGGAGATCTTGTATCGACAATGTATTTACTCTCAAACATCTAACGGAAAAGAGATTAGCAAGAGGACTAGAACTTCATGCCACTTTTATAGATCTCCGTAAAGCGTTTTACTCCGTACCACTGCAGATACTATGGACAACATTGGAAAACGCAGGTATAAACGCAGTATATATAAATGCCGTGAAAAAGCTATATCAAGATAACCAAGCTTATATTAAAGTTGGAAACCAAATTTCCCAGAGGTTGGAAACCAAATTTCCCAACCCTTTGGGTGAAACCAAAGGGTTTCACCCAAACAAAGGGTGTCAAACAGGGCTCTTGCCTCTCCCCAACCCTATTTAAAATATATCTTGGTAATGCTTTAAAATATTGGATGAGAAAATGCAGCCCAATGGGCATATGGGTAAATGACACTCCTATATACACAATCCTCTTCGCAGACGACCAGGTAGTTCTTGCCGAGGACTTACAATATATGACGTACATGATAAACAAACTAATAGACGAATTCAAAAAATGGGGATTAGAGGTTAATACCGAAAAGACACAATACATGAATATAGGAGGCATCGGTCAAGACATGGAAACCGAAAGCGGATTAATTAAAAACGTTGATCAGTACGAATATCTCGGAGTTACACTAAGCGAAGACGGGAGAGACGACAAAGATATAACAAGAAAAATAGGAAAAGAAAAAAACATGATAAAAACACTACATCCAATCCTGTGGAATAAAACCTTAACTAAGAAAACAAAGAAAAATATATATATCAGGCTATGATTCAGCCGGTGCTGACGTATGGGTCAGAAGTGTGGGTCTTTAACAAGAATATGTCACAAAAACTCCTCTCAACGGAAATGTTGTAGATGTACTGGAGAAGATGTTCCGGGTTAACTTTGTTTGACCACATAAGAAATAAAAACATAAGAGAGAGAATGAAAGTAAAGCACACAATAATGGATACGATAGCCAAAAAACAATTAAAATGGTATGGACACCTGAGACGGATGAACGAAGAAAGGATACCACGAAAGGTTTGGAACTGGAGACCTACACAGAGAAATAAAAGGGGAAGGCCAAGAAAGAAATGGATATCCAATATTCATATAGAAATGGAAAATAGAGGTCTTCAAGAAGGAGACTGGGCCGATAAGAAATTATGGCGATTGGGATGCGAGAAGCGACAAAATTAAAGTTGCAAACACTCGCTATATATATACTTTATAGGACCTATACGTGTGGATTTCTTTGTACTTAAAAAATGCAATGTATATAATAATAATTTAAATGGAGCATTAAATAAATGGACCATCTATATACAATTATTAGTAATTTTATTAATACATATTTAATTTTTAAATTTTAGTAAGATCTAATTGTTGAACATCAGATTGATAACATTTTTAAAATAGTGCAATAGTGTGCTTACTTGACAAAAGTTAAGGATGAAGAAATATGTCCACTGGCGAAGCGACCATGTAACCATTGTTACCGTTGGTAACAGCTAGAAATCTCAAACAAATATTTTACAACTACTGTGAAATAATTCCATTTATATTGTTTAACAATCAAAATATGTGTTAATCGTAATTCAGTAAATGGTCAGCTAGACGCATGAAAATATTGACGAGTTTATGCGACTCAGTTGCACGTTACGTTGTTATATTACTAGTGTGCAAAAAGTTGCCTAACTTAATAGTATTGGTGTTATTGGTATTAGTCACACACAAATCACCTAACCTACATTCCTACATACCTCGTGGTATTAGTGCTTTGTTTTTGTTGTAACTTGTGTAAGTTGTATCAAGAGAGTGTCTAGTTCTTCATTTTTTGACGTGAGTTCGTGATTTTTAATTTAAAATGCCTAAAAGAAGTGCTGTTTGGCTTCATTTCGACAAATCAGCTGATGGAAAGTCTGCAAAGTGCAAGCATTGCGGAAAAATTGAGAAATCCAACTTGAGAAGTCACTTTTATAGTATGCATAAAAAATATACTATAGAGGCAAGCCAAACAGGGAACGAGGAACCCCAGCCAAGTAAAAGGCAAAAATTAGAAGATAAAGATTGTTGTGTATCCAGTCAAGCTGATGCTGGTCCAAGTACAAGCAAAGCAGTACAATCTGTAAGTACAAGATGTAGTTCATCTACTTCAATACTGAAACAACCATCTATAATAAACACAATAAAAGGAATCGAGTTCTACAAAAATGGAGGCAGGCAAAATGAAAAAATTACTCAATCCATTGTTTACATGATTTGTAAAGATATGCAGCCATTCTCAATCGTGGAAAGAGATGGTTTTAAAAAACTGATGAAAAATCTGGTACCTCACTATGAGTTACCAAGCCGATTTACCCTCAAAAGACAAGTGCAAAGCAAGTATGATGTGGTGTCTTCATCAATGCGAAAGTTGCTAGCAAACAAAAAGGTAACATTAACTACAGATGTGTGGACAGACCTGCAGATGAGAAGCTACAGCAGCCTAACTGTTCACTTTATAGATGATGAAAATCAATTATTTTCAGGGACAGTGGGTATGGTATCATTAGAAGATCGACATACTGCTGAGTACCTTTGTGTACAATTAAGGTCTCTATGCAGTCAGTGGCAAATTCAAGAAGACAATATTGTTGTCATTATAACAGATAATGGGTCTCATATAGTGAAGGCTATTAATATTTTTTTAGGTGCCAAAAGACATATTCCTTGCTATGCCCACACACTTAATTTAGTCTGCCAGAATTCTTTGAAAAATTGTCCAGGACTGGTTGAGCTTCTGGAAAAAGTGAAAAAAATTGTAAGTTGGTTCAAGCAAAGTGTAGTAGCAAGTGATGAACTAAGAAATGCTTCACCCAATAAAAAGGTAATTCAGTCAGTTCCGACTAGATGGAATTCAACCTTTAACATGGTTAAACGATTTTTAGAGCTGCGCCCAATAATAAATGACATTATTAATAGGCATTCTTCGGCACCAATTATGGTAACCGCAGCTGAGGTGGAAATCTTATTGGAAATGTGTAACATCTTCAAGCCATTACACACAGCAACTGAGGAAATAAGTGGAGAGAATTACCTAACAGGCAGTTTGTGCATTCCCATAACAAACATTACGAGAAAAAAATTAGAAGCCATAACTACAGGCAAGGACTTGACCCATCAATTGAAAGTGGAAGTGCTAAAAGAATTTGACAAAAGATTTGGACAAATTGAGCAATTTAGTTTATTAGGTTTGGCTACATTATTGGATCCACGATTCAAGAAGATGTATTTTAAAAATGCACTTACATGTAGCAAGTAAGTATTCATTTTTATTTATTTATTAACAGCATCCATTCACAAAAGTTTTAACAAAGCTACATCTTAACAACAATAAATGTTTAAAATAACAAACATCTCAACATACTCAGTTTAAGATACCTTTTAATTTATCCTAATCAATATTAATTGTCATAGTCAATAATCAAAATATGTTTTCAACATGTTTTGATATCATACTTGTAATACTTAACATTATTGTCATTTTATTGTTACAGATATATAAACACAGTAAATGCAAGACTAAGATTACTGGAAAATGAAACAAATGACCAAACCATTAGTGATAATGAAACTGACAGCAGTGTTGAAAACTCTTCAAAAAGTATATTTAGCGAATATAATAAACAAATCCAAACAAAATGGAAACAAACCAATAAGGAAGAAACACATAAAGATTTATATCCAGAATTGTCCTTATATCTATCAGCCCCAGCAGCCAAAATAGAGGAAAATCCCATAGCTATATGGGAAGATATGAAAGGTACCTATCCCAAGTTGTTAGGAGTTGTTGCTGAATTTGTTCCTTTAGTTGGTACATCTGTTCCATCTGAAAGATTATTTTCAAAAGCAGGACAAATTATAACAAAGACTAGGAATCGCCTAGAGGGTAAATTGGCTTTAAAGCTCCTGTTTTTAAATTCGGTTCCAGAGAAAATGTGGTAGAACTAAGTACTTATATAGATTTTGCGATTTTGATTTCATTTAGTTTTGTTTGTGTATTATTGTACTGTTCTCATTAACACTTAATTCTTTCATTGTACATTACCACTTAACATAGATCTATTATACGATCGACCATGTCGTCTCTACCTCCACTATTAACTGTCAACCGTCAACTAGTGTTACCAACTCACAATATTCATAGCTTACTATACTACATCTCCCTAATTAACTTGAATCATAGCTATCACCACAATCAGTCACAAAGTCTTTTAAATAAACTGGTTGTCTTCTTATCCGAGTACCACGACTCAATGTTTTATTGTTATTATTAATATTTTCCGCACTACCTGTCACTATATAAAATATTCTCAATATTAACATTTTGATCTTCATCATTTTTAATAATAGATTTATATGTGAAATAAACCGATTCTTCTACACTATTTTGCAGTTTATCTTTCACATTATTTTTTGGTAAAATTTTAGGCAATGTGTTACTTCCTTTAATATCTACTCTATTCATACGTTTAATTTTGTTATTGACATAAAATATAATTATTGTTCGTGGTGTTTTACCATATTTTATAAATTTCGCAGGTAACCACGTTTTATTTTGTCTATAGTAAATTTTTTGACCTTGAGTTAGTTTTAATTTTCTTTCTTTTGAATTTTTGTTATAATAAAATTTGTTTCTTTCATTTTTTTCCTTTTAAACTTGCCTAAAATCTTTTGCAATTTTGGTTTTAAGTTATTACTATGAATTGGTAGAGTTCTTCTAATTTGTCTACTCAAAAGAAGTTGGGATGGACTATACAATGAGTTTACTGAATTGTTTCTGTACTCTAATAATAATAATTTTATATCAAAATTTTCCTCTTTACTTCTTTTAAGCAATTTTTTGCTATATTAACTGCTTTTTCAGCCATTACATTTCCTCTAGCATAATATGGACTTGTTCAAAATTCCAAGCTTTTGCAAAATTGTTAAATTCAAAAGATGCAAATGGCATATTGTCTGCACGTACCACCTCAGGAATACCATGAGTTAAGAATATTTGTTTCAAAATTAAAATTACAGTTTTAGAATCTTTATGTTTTGTTTTAATTATTTCTAACCACTTTGAGTAATAGTCTTCTTCTTCTTCTTCTTCTTCTTCTTCTTCTTCAAGTTCCACTCCTATCGGAGATTGGAAATCATTCTGGCAATTATAATTTTATTGGTTACTCGCCTGAATAGTTCAATTGAACTGCATCCAAACCACTCACGGAGATTGCGTAGCCACGAGATTTTACGTCTTCCTACGCTTCTTCTACCTTTGATTTTACCCTGCATTATATTCCTTAGTAGTTCGTACTTTTCACCTCTCATGATGTGCCCCAAGTATTCCAATTTCCTGATCTTTATGGAATTTAAAACTTCGCATTGTTTTCCTAGTTGTTCGAGAACTTGTTCGTTTGTTTTGCGATCCATCCATGATATTTTCAAAATGCGTCGGTAACACCACATTTCGAATGCTTCTAGGTTTTTAATGTTGGATTTTTTAAGTGTCCAAGCTTCAACTCCATACAAAAGGGTAGAGAAAATATAACATCGAAGCATTCTTATCCGGAGCGATATATTGATATCGCGATTACAAAAAAGTTTTCTCATTCTATTAAAAGTTGACCGCGCAATTTCAATGCGGCATCTTATTTCTTTTGTCTGATCAGTATCTTCTGTGATCCATGCTCCAAGGTATTTGTACGAAGATATTTGTTCAATTTCTGTATTGTCTAGTACTAGCTTAACTTTGATGTTTTGTGCTTTTGTAAATACCATGAACTTTGTTTTCTTCAAATTGATTTTTAGTCCATAATCGTTGCAATATATATTTAGTTGTTCAGCAAGGTGTTGCAGTTCTTCTAGTGTTCCTGCCAAAAGGACGGTGTCGTCAGCATATCTTATGTTATTAAGTGGCTCACCGTTTATTATAAGGCCCTCGCTGATCTCGGCAAGCGCTAATTCTGAGATGGCTTCACTGTATAAATTGAATAACAAGGGTGATAAAATACACCCTTGGCGGACCCCACGGCGAATCTGGATATCCTTGGTCAGCTCGTTTTCAACTTTCACTTTTGCTGTTTGATTCCAATAGAGGTTACAGATGATTCTAATGTCTCTACTGTCTATGTTTTTATTTAATAAAATTTCTTTAAGTCGATTATGTTGCACTCTGTCAAATGCCTTCTCAAAATCAATGAAACAGGCATATACTTCCTGATTAATATCTAAGCATCTCTGCGAAAGAACACTTATTGCAAACAGTGCATCTCGTGTTCCCAGTCCTTTCCAGTAATAGTCAACAACTACTAAATAAGATTCACCTGCAAATTCTAAAAAATCTGTGCCAACCTTTTGAAATGGATATTTACTTAATTGTTCAATGATTATGGGTATTTTTATTGCTAAACTTTTCACATATTGGACAATTTGTTACATATTGTTCTATTTCATTTTCCATTTAAGGCCAATAGAATAATGATTTTGCTCTAGCTCTTGTTTTTATTATACCAAAATGGGTTTTATGAACTTTTTGTATTATTATTTTAGTTAATTCTGCTGGTACTATTATTTTATTATCTAGGAATAATAAGTTATTCTCAACAAAGATTAAATATTTGATTGATAATAATACTTTAACTCATTTGAACACTTTGAAAATCACTTTGGCCAACCATTTAAACATAATTCTTTGACAGTATTCAAAACTGGGTATTTTGTTATACATATTTTGATTTTTTCTGTAATTTCAGTGGATACATTAACTGAATGAACTATATTATTTAGAGACATATCTGTTGCTTCTTGTTTTGCTAATGAAGAGGCCCTATTAATAGCGTCTGCAATCAGCATTTTATTACCAGGCACATATATTAAATTAACATCATAAATACTTAATTTTAATCTAATTCTCTGTAATCTATTTGAACTTATTTTACTAATGTCTTTTTTCATTAAAGATACTAAGGGTTTATGGTCTGTCTGCACAGTAATTGTTCGTCCATATACATAGTTGTGGACCTTTTTTAAAGCAAACAAAATGGCCATAAACTTCTTGTCTATCTGTCCATAGTTAGTCTCACATTCTTCATTGAACAATTATGTCAGAATCAGGATCATAATTTTTTAGAACTGGTGCACTACATATTAACAATTTCAGTTCATCAAAAACCTTACTATGTACTGATTTTATATATATATAAGCGAGGTTCCTACAGCCTCTGCCGTTTCTCGCATTTCGACCGCCATCGTTTTCTGTCCATCCATTCGTCTTCTCTGATGGCTCTATCTCTCATTATGTGCCGTACATTTTCTTCCCAGGCAACTGAAGGCCTTCCCCTTCTTCTTCTTTGTTGTGGTATGTAATTTAAAGCTTTCTTTGGATATCTATCTTCATTCATTCGTTTCACGTGACCATACCACACTAGTTGTCTCGTTTCAATTCTATCTACACTGGAATATACAGTATTTGTCCTCCTTCTAATATCTTCATTCCTGATGTGATCTTTTTTGGATATACCACACGCTCTCCTTAGAAAATCCATTTCTACTACTTCTATTCTTTTTCTATCCTTCTGCGTTATCTGCCAAACCTCTGCCCCATAAGTCATAATAGGCTCTACCAAGGTTCGATAGATTGTCAATTTCGTTTCTTGTCTAATATCTTTAGACCAAAGTAGAGAGTTTAGACTGTTTACCACTTTTTTTCCCTGCTGTGTTCTGTTTTCGATGTCTCTTTTGGTAGTGCCTTTTTTAGATATTATAGATCCGAGATATTTATATTCATTGCATGTTTTTGTGTTTCTAATTTCTAACTCTGGATCTTCTTCACCATCTCCTATTTTAAGATACTCTGTCTTTGCCATATTCATATTGAGGCCCCATTGTTCATATTCTTTCTTTAGTTTTCTAAACATGTAGTCCATGTCTTCCTCGTCATTCGCTACGACTACCTGATCATCTGCGAAAAATAAAGCTGTTAGACATTCACCACCGCCTATGTCTATTCCCATTCCGGATACTTGTTTTCTCCACTGCTCTAGCGATGATTGAATATATATTTTAAACAGGGTCGGAGACAGACAACATCCTTGTTTAAGCCCCTTGGTTATTGGAAATGATTCAGATATAAAGTTTCCTTCTTTAACGACACTTCTTGCATTTTTGTATATATTTGCGATAGCATCCACATACTCTCTACTGAGACCTACTTTCGTCAATGTATAAAATAGTTTTTTCAAAGGTACCGTATCATATGCCTTCTCTAAATCTACAAACAATAGGTGGGTAGATAGATTCCTTGCCTTCCGTTTTTCGATTACCTGCTGCAGAACGAATATATTATCAATGCACGATCTTCCTGCCCGAAATCTATTTTGTTCCTCTATGTCTTCATATTCTGATTCAATTCGTTTTTTTATTATTCGACCGTACAACCTCCCAACTGAGCTAGTAACAGTTATTCCTCTATAGTTAGAGCAATTGCGTTTATCCCCTTTTTTGTATATTGAGCTGATGTATCCAACATTCCAATCATCAGGGATATTTTGTCCTTTTAAGCATTTATTAAATAGTTTAACCATCATCTCGTGTAATATTTTTGGTCCATACTTTACCAACTCAATTGGGATGTCTCCAGGTCCTGCTGCTTTACCGTTTTTCGATCTTTTGAGGGCATCGCTTAACTCTCCGGTTGTTATCTCAATTATTTGTGTATGTTCAGATATTTCTTCCATTTCGATATCTTGGAATTTACGTCTATCCTCTGTCAATAAGACCTCATAATGCTGTTTCCACTGTTTCAGATCTATTAATTTTAAGTTAGATTTTTCCTTTCCTTCCCTCCGGAGAGACTTTATCACCTTCCACGCTTGCCCAACTCTTGTTCCACCCATATACCTATCC